GACTGAGGACTCTGCTGTGAAGGTGGGACTGAGGACTCTGCTGTGAAGGTTGGACTGAGGACTCTGCTGTGAAGGTGGGACTGAGGACTCTGCTGTGAAGGTGGGACTGAGGACTCTGCTGTGAAGGTGGGACTGAGGACTCTGCTGTGAAGGTTGGACTGAGGACTCTGCTGTGAAGGTGGGACTGAGGACTCTGCTGTGAAGGTGGGACTGAGGACTCTGCTGTGAAGGTGGGACTGAGGACTCTGCTGTGAAGGTGGGACTGAGGACTCTGCTGTGAAGGTGGGACTGAAGACTTTGCTGTGAAGGGGGTACTGAGAATGCTGCTGTGAAAAAGAAACTGAGAACTCTGCTGTGAAAGGGGCACAGGGGACTCTGCTGTGGAAGGGAGACTGAGGACTTTGATTTGAAAGGGGGGGGGGGGGAACTCAGGTGTGCAGGAGGGGCTGAGAACTCTGCTGTGAAAGCGAGACTGAGTATTCTGCTGTGAAAGGGGGACTGAGGGCTCTGCTGTGAAGGGGAGACTGAAAATTCTGCTGTGAAGGGGGACTGAGAGCTCTGCTATGAAGTGGAGGCTGAGGACTCTGCTGTGAAAAGGAGACTGAGGGCTCTGCTGTGAAAGGGAGACTGAGGACTTTGATTTGAAGGGTGGACAGAGGACCATGCTGTGAAGGGGGGACTGAGGCCTCTGCTATGATGTGGGGGCTGAGGACTCTGCTGTGCAAGGGAGACTGTGGACTCTGCTGTGAGGGGGGACTGAGGGCTCTGCTGTGAAGGGGAGACTGAAATCTCTGCTTTGAAGGATGAAATGAAGGCTGAGGGCTCTGCTATGAAGTGGGGGCTGAGGGCTCTGCTATGAAGTGGGGGCTGAGGGCTCTGCTGTGAAAGGGAGACCGAGGGCTCTGCTGTGAAAGGGAGACTGAGGGCTCTGCTGTGCAAGGGAGACTGAGGGCTCTGCTGTGAAAGGGAGACTGGGGGCTCTGCTGTGAAAGGGAGACTGAGGGCTCTGATGTGAAGGGTGGACTGAGGACTCTGCTGTGAAGGGGGGCCTGAGTGAGGGCTCTACTGTGATTGGGAGACTGAGGGGTCTGATGTGAAGAGGGGGCTGAAGGCTCTGCTGTGAAGGGGGAGACTGAGGGCTCTAATGTGAATGGGGGGACTGAGGACTCTGCAACCACTGGGTGGGGGCTTAGGACTCTGCTGTGAAAGGGAGACAGGACTCAATGAACTTCTCTTATTTGTTCCCTTTTGGACTGGTAAAATATAATATATCATATAGAACATCACCCCCTATGTTATGAAGATAAGAGGGGGTGAGTTTTGTAGTCCATAGAGAGATCTTGGAACAATTCTTATGGATAAAAGTCTTCAAAACCAAAGAGCACAGGCAGTTTAACATCTTTTAGGTTGCAGACCTGCCTGTGATACTCAACTAGGGTATGCTAAGTAACCTATAGTACCTATATAACATGAAAATACAGTGGTGTCCCTAGACTTCTTGCCACCTGAGGTGGGGGGCGATGGTAGTGCATGACAGTAATGTCACCCTTTGCAGACCTGGGATGCTCTGGCCGGTGTCCCACCCAGCTCCTGACAACCACTGACATCACTGGTTGCCAGGAGCTGGGCGGTATACCAGCCAGAGCATTCCAGGTTGCTAAGAGAATACACCTTACACATATCCCCGACCGGCTCTTAGCAACCCGAGATGATCTGGCCTGAAATGAAGTGGCATCGTGCAGGAGAATGACCACTATACAACCAAACATCTCACTCTGCCTGCCGCCACCCATTCCCCCCCATGTGATCCAACAGTCTTAGGCTGCCTCATTAAAGGGATGGCCCTGAGAAAATAAAAATCTATAAAATGGTAGCCAGATGTTTCCAGATTACTGAATTGAAGGTTTTTGTCTGCAGTCATAAAAGGAAAAAGGTGTACATTGTTTTAAGATTACCAATGGTATCTTCTTCCCTAATTTGTTCTTTCTGGTTTCTTTCAGGTTTTGTTTGGAGTCATTGTTTTTTTGTAACGAAGACAACTTTTTATAGAGTTTAATAGCAAAAACAGAAGTCTGCAGTGAGTCAGCTGTACAGTCTTTCATTATTTGTCATGTGAAGACTCCTAAAGCACCACAGCCGAACAACAAAGGCCTCTTCCTTCATACATCAGAAAGAGAATTATATTTGTTACTGCCACTGAACTGCCATGTATCATCTCTTGACAGTGTTGCTTAGTGTTACTCTGGATGCTCTCGGTGTGCACTCAGCACTTAGTGTTGGCGCTGGCCAGGGTCAATGGCACAAGAACCAAACACAGGCGATGCCAATGCTTCTTGCACACATAAAAAGGCCACCGGTATCCCAGAATGCCTCATCAGGAAAGAGCCAGAGTGTACCAGAAATGTGCTATGGGTACTATGATGTGATGGGACAGTACGATGCCACCTTTAACTGTACCACGGGTACATATCGCTATTGCTGTGGCACTTGCCATTACCGCTTTTGTTGTGAACATCGCCATAAGCGCTTGGACCAGGACAGCTGTAAAAACTATAACAGTCCGTTCTGGGCACACACAACCCAGCCTATTACCACCAGTGCTAACAGCAAGCTGAACAATAACGGGCATGCAGACCAAACCAATAGCACCGTATATGTCATCTGTGGTGTCATTAGTTTCACTCTAGCCGTGGCCATCGGAGCCAAGATTGCCTTTAACAAGGCCTCCCGACGCCCACGGGGTAGAGAGATTAATGTACCCAGGTGAGCTGAGTAAAATGATTACCAGGAGATTAGTTTTTTTTGCTTCCTGCCAAGTCCTAATATGCATTCTAAAATATAACGTAAAATATTGCACTTGGATAAGTTTTAGTTCCAATTGCATTACATGGTGATTAATTATGATTTTGATGTTTTTGTACCTTTGAACTGTTTATTTGTATCTGTAAGTATAGTGAGGTTGAAGGCATTCTGTATGAAATATATACACAACTGAGGAATGCAGCAATAAGCTAAAATTTGACCTGATAACAATGGAATTAACTTTAGCATCACTTACAACAATTTTAGTTGTGTAGACCTATACACTCAAACTAATAGTCAGCAAAGAGAACATATCTAATCTGTTTCTAGTTTACAAACAGGCTTGACACAATATTCTTCTGCACAGCTCAGCTACCATATACTGCATATTAGCAAATGTAAGAAAACAAGTCTCTGTAAACTAGAAACAGGGCTTTCTTTGCTGCCCTGTAATGTCTGGAAATGTTATATTATACATAGATTTGGGGTTTTGTGAAATTGGCCTTTAAATTCTGCCCAAACTCTCCACTCTTCTAAATTAATTGATGGTAGGCAAGGAATGAGTGGATGAGATGTCTTCTCTAGTAGAGCTGAGACGATTACAGGGTAGACTGACACGGAATAGAGATATGTAGGAATGACATTCCAAAATGGCAAAAGTCAAATATTTGGCTAAAAACCTGTATTAGAAAATGTAATGCCCTGCATTGCATGAAATAATGGAGAACATTTCAGAAGTTAGAGATTCCCAGAACAAACCTGATATCAGATTTTATGTGGCAAAGTGTTGCTGTTCCAGTTTGCAAATGTCAACCATTCCACATGGTCAAGAAGCTGGGCCCACCTTTTCCTACTGCCTAAGCCTCTCTATTGGCTCACTGGCCAATTATGAAATGGAGATAAGGGGGTCCAGTCTCTGGACCTTGTGATATAGCAACAGCAAAGAATCTAGACATTTGGGGCTCCAGAGGTGTTGGCTATGTGGCACTTTATCACATTAAATCTGAGTTCAGGTAAGTGTTATTCCTACTTTTTTATTTTAAACATTGAGGGAGAACTATCACAAAATTATACTAAGCTTTTCCACATTTTACCTGCAATATAGGGGGCTATTCACAAAGGAGCCGAAGGATTCAGCCGTAATTTCGGCTTTCTTCGGCTGCCGGAGCCCTTCGGTGCAGTCAAACTGAAGGGCTGCTGTACGGGCTATTCACTATGGCCCATACAGCAGCTGAGCGGTTCAGCCGCTTCGGCTCGACTGAGTCGAAGTGACAGCCGAAGCGGGGAGAACAGACTGCCGAAGGCCGGCCTTTTGCCTCGCAAATGACAGCTGGGTGGAGCCAGCTGTGATCTCACAGCTGGCTCCGCCCAGTTGTAATGACAGATCAGCATCCCCAAATGACCTGGTGATGCTGAACTGTCATGAAACAATAACAACTGGGCGGACCCGGCCACAGAGGTACCGAGCAGAATAGCTGAGCCGAATGCCGCTCGCCGGCATTTGGCTATGCACTCACTGCCGTTCGGCCCCTATGTGAATAGGGGCGAACGGCAGCAAGTGAGAAGTCCTTCTGCACTATGACTCAGCCGAACATGCAGAGCATGTTCGGCTGACCGAAGTGCAGCCGATGTACGGCTGATTTCAGCCGATGCACGGCTGAAATCAGCTGTACTGAGCCGGAGTGAATAGCCGAACGTAGTAGGCTCACTTCACTTCGGCTGGGTTATTCACTCGACTGCCTTCGGCAGCTTTGTAAAAAACCCCATAGTCTTTCTTTAGCAAGTGCAAATAATTTGCCACTGCATTTGCACATTCTCCCGCATAAGTGGATAAAGCCAAGTTTAGCACAGTTAGCGCCTGCACAACTCTTTGTAAATTTCCCCCATTAACATGGACTTTTCATGTGCAATTTATATGCATTTTACAAACAGGTCTTTTTAAGCATTGTAGTTCTTTAGTTGTGTATGCAACTTAAAGTGTGTCTGTAACCAAAACCCTTATTTTTTTAGTTTTGGATAGAGTGGTTAAGAAAAAGGGCTTCTGTCATGTTTTTATTGCTGTGCGAGTCCCCATTTGGAGCTTCAACCCTGTTAGTACTGGTGACTATTTTCAATGAAAAAAAAGTGATGGAATTCCAGAATTTTAAAGCTGTACCCAGTACAAAAGGTAAGGGGAAATCATCTGATGGGACACTTGTTCCAGGGACAACTGTCTAAGAGGGGAATTCCCATCACTTTGAAGATTTTTACCTTCCTGTTGCATCTTTGGACAGGAAGTGAAGTGAAGTTTCCCCTTATGGTTAACAGACAGCAAAAACAAAAAAAACCTGGCAGAGGTTTTAAACCTTCCCTATTCTATTTAAAACTCAAAAGGTCATCCATTTTATAGCATTTTACAGAAGTGTTTAACGTTTTTAAAGTGAACTTATAAGTACAAAACTATAGGAGTGGACATTGCTAACTTGTTTTTAAAAGGTAGAGGTTTCAGGGCTGTTCTTATTCTTTACTTAAAGAGCCACAGACATGGAGCCAGAATGCAGGACAGGCATTTAAACTGTTCCAGTCTGTGTGAAGTAGTGAAGCTGGTATAATAAGAATGACAGCCTTGGAGCCTGCCAAGTTAGCAATGGCAATCCTTATATGTATGTCCTTTTAAATGAACCTGTCATAAAAGAAATATGGGGGCTGCCATTAATGACCTGTTTGCTAAATGCCTAGCTGCTACACTGACTTTTTAGCTTCAAAACTTTTGAAGTAACTGACCTGCGACATGTATGCAAAGTCCTTATTTGCCTACTTATTCAGGTCAGGGGGTTAAGTATTGAAGCAAGAGGATCACCATGACAGCCAGGCAACTAGCATTTTTGGAGAGGTCAGCAATGGCAGCCTCCATGTTTCTACTACGACATGTTTCTTTTAAATGTAATTGTTGTACATTATGAATCAATCACTGTTATTTAAAGGGTAATCCTACTTTCCCAGGTGAATTTGGGAAAACGTAATTACCCCCGCCAATCTTCCCCCTCCCGCTGCTCTTACCTTTGAGTAAATGCTGCTTCTTCTCCACAGCTGCCGGTGTATGATCTGTCATACACAACGTCGCAGCCCTGCACTATATATTTTAAATTAAGCTCACAAATGGTGAGGACTTGTTGGTTAGCATTGGTTAGCTGACCGCGCTGACCAATGAAAATAACTTCTTAGCAAGAAGCGCTTCTCATTGAGCAGCGTGGTCAGGTGACCGTGCTAACCAATTAAAGCCCTCCATTAATTTAAAATACATAGCACAGGGCTGCGATGTGTACCATGTATGGACAGTACATTGGGAGCCGCAGAGGAGAAGCAACATTCCTTCAAAGGTAAGAGCAAGGGGACGGGGTAGGGGGGGCAGATTGGTGGGAGTAATTTTGATTTTCCCAAATTCACCTAGGAAAGTTGAATAACCCTTTAAAACACATGCACCTGTAGAGAATTTTTGCTAAAGGTCAGATTCACTGATAAATAAATATGTCCCTATATGAACTTGGGTCCCTATATGAGCTGGGGAAATTCACCCTCTCTGTCAACAGGACTGAAAGTCCAAAATGTTGCATTGTCACCAGAACAGGAATAAAGGGAAAATCTTCCATTGAAAATACTTGTTTACCCTGAATCTGGAGAGCTTTCCTTTCACTTCCTGCTGTGTCTATAGGATAGGAAGTGAAAGAGAAATTTCACATATGGTACAAAAATGGCAAACAAAATTGTGACCATATTTCATGTTACATCTACCCTAAATATTGGTATAACATGATACATGGTCTCAAAAGTAAATGAAGCCTTTTATCTTATGAAAAGTGTGTCTCCATTTTTTTAATATGAAACATGCCTTTTCACTGGGTAAGTATAAGAAAATGTTGAATCTTTAAAAATATATACAACATAGCTGTAATATAGAGAATACAGAGAATGTTGCAGTTTTGCACAAAAAGTCTCAAAAACTGCACTAAATAAAAAAGTGAGTGTGTCAATATTTGGTGCAATGGAAGTGTGCAGTAGTGTGACAAGAGGACAATGGCTCAAGAAAGTTACATCTGCTACATGCTTCAAATAAACTATATGCACTGTGACATAATAGTTTATTTGACATGTGATGCCCCAAAATAAGATGCCATGTGTTCGCATTCCTCAACAACCGCCAGTCTTAGTTTAACTGACCCACTTTTTTATTGATTGTCTATCAAAGCAACAATGCTTTACACTTATGTATGAACTCTCCTATTTAAACATGTGCATCTGCTTTGTAGGTAGCGTGGCAGAGCTGCTGGACTTAATGCCATATACTGTGTAAAGATCAGCTTTCAGCTGCTGAACATAACAGAGCATAGCATAATGAGCATGCAATACCTATTAAATCACATTAGTTAATAATTAGTAAATAACATTAGCCCAGAGTTCTTTTTTTAAAGCAGTTATACATTTGAATTAAACAATCACTGCATTTTTAAATGCAAATAGGTACATACCTGAATGGATATCCACTTCTTGTAATCCCCTGTACAGCAATACTTATATTAAAAGAGGGAGGGTCAGCACTAGCAGCTCTGCTGTAGTACATGTGCTAGTGAGTAGAAGAGTGAATCATCAATATGCTACTACCCCTTCCTTGCCCAATCAGCAAACTCAAGGTGTGATTTGACCAATCTGCACTTCCACATCAGTGAAAAGCATGCCTGGATCACAAGACTGGCTGCTCAAAATGACACATTTTTGGGCAGGTAAAACAGTTGTACATCCACACAGCACAGTTCAGTCACCTGCTTGTAAAGCCAACATCTTAAACAAACTCTGTTTGATTTAACTGTGTTGTGTGGATATGCTACTGTTGACTGCCCTTCACGTATCTCTTCACCTAACTCCAGCTGTAGACTGGCATGGAGTCAGCCTTTACATTACACAGTTTCCTTGGAGACTAATCTTTTATGAGTTAGTTAAAACAGTTTTTTGTATTTCAACTGTATATGTAGTTGTATGCCTGGAGTTACACTTTAACAATATAAATACCCATTAAAGAGAATCTGCATAAGTAACAGAAAACAGCATTATAATAATAATTGTGCCAAAGACAGTTGCCATGTGATTAAGAGTATTTAGAGTCAGTTTAATATATTATTAGATAAAAAGGCACAAATAGTACATATTATATAACTGTTCTCATTGATTGAATAAACAAGGTCATCCAACACCAACTGGTTCTGTATTAAAAAAAAAGTAATTAACCTCACTTAAAGGGATCATGCTAGCTGAATACAGGCAACCATGTTTAGCATAATAGCGTCAGAGTTAAGTTTCCATCACCAAAGAAATAAATAAATACAAAAGAATAAAAATGATATATATGTATGTGTATATATATATATTTCAAAGAACCGTGGAATCAACCAGTCTGGTTTTCATACTTTAATATTAGAATGAAACAATTGTTGGCAAATTATTCAAAGGAGCATTATTCATTGCCCCCAAATTTTCAAGAAACCCATTAGATGATCCCTAAATCATTTGGGAGAATGTTTTATGAATTAGTGAGACAAAAGGGGATTTTTTTAGATGACTGTGAAAATGTAAACCTTCACAACTGTCAAACATAGTGATGGCGGGAATGCTTGGTACTGCCAAACCTAAAGAGCTTATAAGAACCATAAAACGTGTCAATTCTGTTCTATATCAGAGAATTATTAATAATAATGCCCTACATCCATCCATAAATAATAAAGTGAGAGCTTGATATTGGTAGTTTTTGGCTCAGAGTTCATGACTCTGAGAATATGGACATTCCTAAACCTTCCTGAATTGCCTCCATTTCTCAAACTATCCCCAATGTCAAGAACCCCCTAACACAGGTACTGTATGTCTAATTGATGATTTGGGGCCATATACAGCTCCCATTCCTTTTTGTTTCCCTTTGCGGATTAACATTTAAAACTTAATGAGATTGAATCTGGGATACAATTTTTGTTTGGGATACAATATTCCAAGTTGACATTTGTGCTAAAATAATCACCAAAGAGCAATAATCTTTTGCAGCATGTAAATAGGTATGGCCTTCTGTAGGCATAATACGGCCACTTGAAATGCCCCATGCCACCGCTCCAAGCTCGCTCCTGTGATGGACCACAATCTCACCATTAGTTTACTAATTTATGTTGAGATTATAGTCCATCATGGGAGTGAGCTTGGAGCGGTGAATACTTTACAACACATGCAGGGACCATGGGGAACAAAAGACCGGTACTAGGGATCCTCATAGTTCTGTTAGTTGCTCAGCACCAAGCCTAAAGTGGAACTACACCATCCTACCCTTTACAGCCAAGGAAGGTGCCATTTTGGCCTCTATTTGGTTTGCAGTTGCTATGGCACTGCACATGTGATCAGCTATGATACCAGCAATTGGAGGGCTTGAAAGTTCTGTTGAGAGCTGAAATTAGCACACTGGCAACCTTGACAGCTGCAGTGCCTTAAAAGTAACTGTTCATATAGAAAGATAATGAACCGAAATAAAATTGCAGGTTTACATTATGAAGCCTAAAAAAGAAAGAAGAATCTATTTCTGGTCTGACCTAGTCAAAGTCTAGCACTAAACGCAGTAGAAAATATGTGATATGGCCTAAAATGAACATTTCAAACTTTAAAGCCTAGCAGTGTTTGTGAAAGAAAGCAGCATTGAGTTAAAATGATTTGCAACAAACAAGTTACAGCCACTCCTCACTTAACAACCTAACTGTTTAAAGACCGGTCAGACTTACGACTGGGTCTCTGACCATTCGGTATAGTGCATTGTATAAGAACTTGGGTAAAGATTATGTCGCATTACCCTTTCTCAGTCTCAATCTCTCAGTCAGTCGGTCAGTATTCACTAATGTACTGTACTTTAGTATTTACATAGTGCAAACCTAAGTAATGTACTGTATATTAGAGCTGATTTCCTCTAATTCTCGATTAGGATTCGAACAACCTAGTTATAGGAACAAAAGCTGGTTGTTAAGTGAGGAGAGTCTGTATTAAGTGAAAGAGTGCAGTTACTTTTTCACATTGTGCCAGTTGGTGTTAGAAAACTCTTGCAGACCATTTACACAAGTGTTCTTTAGCTAGTGTTACCTTTTGAGTGACAATCGGAAACAAATACTTTTTACAGCACAGTCTGTAATTTATCAGCAATTATAGTGTTATGAAGGAGAAGAGTAGAAGAGGTGGGCACTGACTTGGTTTTTTTTAGTGCAGGGGTAGCCAAACTCCGGCCCTCCAGCTGTGGCGAAACTACAAATCCCATGATGCATCTCTCTCCGGGAGTCATGTCTGTGGCTGTGAGAATCTTGCAATGCCCCATGGGATTTGTAGTTCCACCACAGCTGGAGTTTGGCTGGAGTTTGGCTACCCCTGTTTTAGTGAATGAAAGATGAATTTTTGAAAGACAGACTCTACTCCTATGTGCCTGCATGCTGTTTGTGCATTGCAATGGCAGCAGTATAGATTAGGCTGTGGGAGAATAAGGATGGCACAACCTGGACAGGTGAAAAATTCTTGGCTGAACAGTGAATGCTTCCCATCATATGCAGTCTGTATTCTGGTATTCAGGCAGCAGTGGGTGCTGCAGCGACCTGAAAGCAATAGCCGGCAGTGAAAAGTCCTTCAATCCATCGATTTTCTCATGTTCAGTGCAAGAGAAATCAAAAAGTATATGACTAGTTTAACTTTAGGTATAACTGTTAACCATTAGTGTTCTCAGACCATCAGAATAAATGACACGTAACTTATCTGCAATTTAACCTTTCCGAGATACCATGGTGACATGCAACAAAGGTAAATTTTATTGAAATTTGTGTTTTTAAAAGTATATATATATTTTTTTTTTAATGTAAAATATTTATTTTACAATAAAAAAACATTTAATAGAGGGTGTGCCCATGACAGAGGATTGACCGAGTTTTTTTAAAGACAGAGAGCAGCAGAAACCGTTTTGCGTTCAGGCTCCCTCTCTCTCAACTTTTTACAGTCATCTGTACACAGCAATAGGTAGGCTGAAAGGGAGATAGGGAGATGAGTAGCTTCTTTCACTCATTTTGTTGTGTATAATTCAGTTTTAGCTTTGTAAACAATGTTTATTTTTCTGTATAAAAAGATCAGACCAGTTTGTCCACTGCTGGTTTGAAATGCTGGTTACTATGGTCATAATTATATATATATGCAAAACCATTATACATTATTATTAATGGTACAAGAGATTTGATAACACACCTGAAAATTAAATTTAAAATGTACATACTAGGAAAGCAAAGGCATGCTCTAACTCCTCTACCCTCCGTAATTTTGTAGTTTCCTTAAAGTGTAAAGATAGTCAACCCTGTTTTATTTTTAGTTTTGGATAAAGTAAGGAAGGGTTAAAACGCTCTGTCAATGTATTTTTTGTCTGTGTGCCTCACTGGGGAGATTGACCTTCACTTCTTGTCACAAACGGAAGTGAGAGGCCGTCTTTAAAAGGTGAGGGGAATTCCGCTCTTTAACTGTTGTCACCAGAACAAGTGTCTCCTTTGAAAGATTTCCTCTCTATTTCTGTTCCAATAAGAACTCACAATTTTGGATATTTTCTCACTTTCAGTCCCACAGACAACAAAAAAACTTGATAGGTGTTCTATATCGTCCCTACTCTATCCAAAACCACAAAAAGGTTGCCCATACATACACTTTAATTACAATTGTATTTTTATATGGCATAATGTATGGGGTTTACCTGTATCACTCTTTCAGAGCTCTCGTGGACATTCTTCGCCACCAGTCCGTTGCAGGGAGCCATGGAGAAAGAAATAACAGCACAACTGTGACTTCAGGGCAACATGACAATGGACCATCACGTCCACCAAAAAACCTCTACAACCCTGTAAAATCAGTAAAGAACAACCACGGTAAGTAGATGTAGAGGGGGGAAGTGTGGGGATTCAACCAGATTGTAATACAAAAGTTACCAAAATATTCATGTGACAGCTCAGTCTATACAGTACTGTGTTGGCTTTAAAGAATTGAATTAAACTGGAACATACTGCTACCACTGTATTGGAAATTGACTCTTTTAGCTGTGTATAGTCTGAGGTTTAGTTATTGAGCTCTGTAAACAACAGGCTGTTCTCAATAAAGCAATAAGGTGTAGCCCGATAAACAAAATGTATATAAAGAGCAGAGCTGCCATGTATATAGCATTTATATGTAATAGAAACATGGAAGAGTCACCGCAGAAAAAGACAAACTGGTTTATTGAGTCTGCTTCTTTTCTTATTTATTGTTTTGATGTAGTTTTCTTTTTTGTTTATTTTGTTAACATGGGGGGGGGGGGATTTTGTCAGAGTATAGACCTATTTTTATCCCAAATATGTTTAAATTAACTTACAGTTGACTGACTCACTTCCTCTGCCGGAGGTCTGTTCCAGGCATCCACTCAGGGCTGTAGCTACCATGGGGCAAGTGAGGCACTCGCCTCAGGCGCAGCTGAGAGGGGGTGGAGCCAGCGCCCCCCTCACCCCTCTTGTCATGGCGAGCACAGGGCATCATTGGCAACAGGGGCGCCAGGCTGCCAAAACAGCCCCAGCTCGGCAGGGAGAAGAGGAGCCCCACAGGCTCCAGCTTCTCCTCGGATCCCTGCTGCTCTCCTACACCTGTATGGGCAGAGGACTCTGTGTCCTCAATCTCCTTTTCTATTTCAAAAGGGAAACGTCAGGGGTGATGTTTCCCCAAAGCACCCAACAGTAAAAAATAAAACATAACACTAAATGAATAAATAACCACACACCCACACACACATTACTAGACATGTGCAAAGACAAAAAAAATTGTTTTTCAGACGAAATGAACGGAAACTAAAAATGTTTTAATTAGTTTCGTCAAACAAAATACATGTTTATGCTATTTTGGATTTGGCCACCAGCGCATTCTGCGCACCACCATCCTGGAGGCAGGACACATGATCTTGCATACCACACAGGTCTGTTGGGGGCACAATTTTCTGTTCTTGCCTCGGGCGCAAAAGGAGCTAGCTATGGCTCTGCATCCACTACTACTTTCCATAAAATAAAACATTCTAAGTTGTTCTACTTTTTCAATATAATTTTGTAAGTGAGGACTCCAGAACTGAGCACAGTATTCTAAATCAGACCTAACTAAAGATCAGGAAACCAGGACCTCCTTCCTCCTGCTGGTGATCACCCCAGGTGATAACTAAAGATCAATATAGGGGAATCAGGACCTCCTTCCTCCTGCTGGTGATGACTCTAGTGATACCTAAAGATCAATATAGGGGAATCAGGACCTCCTTTCTCCTGCTAGTGATCACTCTAGTGATACCTAAAGATCAATATAGGGGAATCAGGACCTCCTTTCTCCTGCTGGTGATCACTCTAGGTGATAACTAAAAATCAATGTAGGGGAATCAGGAACTCCTTCTTCCTGCTGGTGGCCCCTCTAGTGATAACTACATATCTGTATAAGGTAATCAGGACCTCCTTCTTCCTGCTGGTGATCCCTGCTGGTGATCCCTCTAGTGATAAGTAAAGACCTATATAGGGGAATCAGGACCTCCCTCCTTCTGATGGCGATCCCCCTAGTGAAAACTAAAGATCAATATAGGGGAATCTGGACCTCTTTTTCCTGCTGGTGACCCCTCTAGTAATAACTAAATATTGTATAGGGGAATCAGGACCTCCTTCTTCCTGCTGGTGATCCCTCTAGTGATAAGTAAAGATTTATACATTGTATTTAGGACCTCCTTCCGCCTGCTGGTGATCCCTCTAGTGATAACTAAGGATCTATATAGCGGAATCAGGACCCCCTTCTTCCTGCTGGTGGTCCCTCTAGTGATAACTAATGATCAATATAGGGGAATCAGGACCCCCTTCTTCCTGCTGGTGATCCCTCTAGTGATATCTAAAGATCTATATAGAGGAATCAGGACCCCCTTCTTCCCGCTGGTGATCCTTCTAGTGATAACTAAAGATCAATATAGGGGAATCAGGACCTCCCTCCTTCTGATGGTGATCCCTCTAGTGAAGCACCCCAAACATCTATTCACTTTCTTCACTGCCAGGATACACGGCAATCGTTTTATTCTGTAACCCTGGCCAATACTGTACCCACAATATTGTACTCTAAGAGAGAGGGGTTTTTTTCCTTAGTGCATTATTTTGCATTTAGAAACATTGAACTGTAATTTCCACTACATTGACCAATTTTCAAGCAATGCTAAATTATGTTCCATGTTTCGAACACCTCCATGAATATCAACCCAAATACACACCTTTGTGCAAAAAGACATACCTTGTCTCCCAAACCTTGGGTTGTAAACATGTAATATTTCATAGTTATCTGTTAAAAAACAATTCAATAATTCCTTTTTAATGTGACCGGTGGTTGTGGGGTAAGAAAGGCAAATCTTATTTAGCACAGGTTGATAAATGAAGCTTAGCGTTACATCAGATTTTCTGACTTTTGAGTTGTCACGTATGTGTGCTTTAATTTGTTTCTCCACCATTACGATTCTTCATTCTTGTTTTCACAAAAGCCCAGAACATAACATGAATTATACATTATCCATTGGATTTAATAAAGTAATGCAATGCAAAAAGCTAAGTGTTAATGTAGTCTTAAGTAACTGCTAACACTTTGCTTGTCCTGGTAACTCAGCATCATTTGCACCTTCTGTGCTTAGCAAATTTCACTATGATTTATTAAAGTGTGTTAGTTTTACTGCGCCAACGAATGAAAATGTAACTGATAGTGAATAGATTAGTTAATAATTGATGCATTCATTAAAGTGTATGCCTAGGCAAAACTTTTTTTTATAGCTTGGGTAGGGTGGGGAAAGGTTAGGCCCTTATAACTGTCTCCATCCCCATTGTCCCCATTGCGGAGAGTCACTACTCTATTTGTACTAATGACCATTGTCAATGAGCAAAAGCGTGAGGCGAAATCCAAAAGTTTAGAGCTGTCTCCAAAACAAGATGTGGGGGAAAGCTTCCAATAGGGACATTTGTTCTGGGGACAAATGTCAAAGAAGGGAATTCCCCTCTCCTTCCCCTACCTTCCCGTTGCATCTCTGGGACAGGAAGTGAAGGGATATTTCCCCAATGGTACATAGCCAGCAAAAAAAAAATAACTTGGCAGTGGTTTTAACTCTTATCCATATCTACTCTATCCAAAACAGAAGAAACAAATTGGGTTATACATACACTTTAAATCCTATGGAATTCAGTAACTATTTTGTAAGCAGTTAAATGCCATTTCTTATTTTTAATCTTTAAACTATATCTAAAAACTTTTTTTTAGGTTTAGCTAATGTATAGGGTGGAAACCCCTGTAAGTTTGATATGCTGTCTCCACTGAGGAGATTCACTCAATTCTATATTTGTCCTGGTGACCAGTGTCAACATGGCTGAAGGTGATGGGAAATGCAACATGATAGTTGTCAATGAAACAGAAGGTGAGGAGAAATCTACCTATGGGGACACATGTTTTGGAGACAGCTGTATTCCCCCCACTTTGCAAAGATTTTATTTTACTTCCTGGTGGGTCTCTGCAACAGGACGTGAATGGACATTTCTCAAATAGGATGCAGACAGTAAACCCAAAAAATTATTTTAAAACCATTCCATGCTCTAGCCAAAAATGTTGCCTTTAGAAATACATTAGAATTATATAGTTTTACTGACTGTCTTAGTATATATTGAGGATATCTCAGATGGATAAAACCTGCACCAACATAAGGAGAATATACGAACTTCATAGTGAGTATCAAACCCAGACTTCCAAAACTGCATTTCTGGCCACACATTTCTGGCCAATAACCCTGAGGCTATGCTGACTACATTTTAAAATGTTGTTGTCTGCCTAAGACTGGACACCAGACAACTTTCTACATAGTCAACGTAGGCAAAGGCCTAGGCTGCCAGGGATGGCACATAGCCACCTACAAATTAGGTTTCTAATTTTCAGAAAAGCATTCTCATGTTTGGTAAATATCTCAGACTGCCGCTCCATCTGCCAATACACTCTGAGTCCTTATTTCTGCTGGCCTAGCATAGTTTATACATTTTGTTGATGGAAGAATGCAATTTGTACTTTAAGGATGAACTTCACTTTTAAATATGACAACAAAAACACCTTTAGAAATGTTTAGTAACGGCAATCTACAAACAGATACTTATAGATAATTGCCGGCTTTTTATTCTTTGCATACCTCTTTTTTTTCTTTTTCTTCCCATTCTTCAAACGTTGTCCATTTTAACTAAGGGCAGATTAAACCATCTCCTTTTACTTCCTGGAACGCTGAGTCTGCCTCCTGTGACAGTGCACATCATCTCAGGGGCAATAAATGCCTTTCCCCTGAAATTTTGCAGGTTACCTATGAGATTTTCCAGGAAGGCGCTGGTGATGTAGCCTTCCCAGGATGTATCTGTGAGGCCAGGGCTACATCACCAGTGCCTCACTCAACCAGGAAATGGAAATACAGTAATTGTAAGTAAAACAAATTTAAAAGTTTATTTAAGTAATAAATTCAATTTCAGCATGGACAGCTAGTGAAAAGTGGTAAAGGTCCGCTTTAAGAGAAGGCCGGCCTTAAATCAAAACTTCTTTTTGTGTATCAGCATGCATATTGCACACTGTTTTCCATTTTTAAAGTGCAGGTCCTATCAATCTTTATCACTACCAGTCACAGAACTGCTAATTCGGCTTTTTGTTGCAGGGTGACAATGCTCATTCATTGCCTTGCATTGTCTCCTTACCATGTGCACTCATTCAGTGGGATTACAGAATATCAGGCTGACTCACAGCGTAATCTCCCTGTGGTCATCCCACGCCACCTACCCACTCACCATTGTGACATGCAAACACGTTTCGCACCACCTCGTCATGCTTCATT